TCTTGAAGACTGTTCGTCGTTGATTAATTCCCAAAATTACTACTTCTCTGACGATCATATATGGAAATAACGTCAGGAAAAAATAGGCTTTGTTATTGAACAAATAGCGAGCGACAAAATAGTGAGGAACAAATAGCGCATAAGGAAGGATACTACTTTTTCTAAACAATCTAACCTAACTCGGCTCAAATGAACCTTTTTAGAAAAAATATATTTTTCAACATCGATCAGATTTGGGAGCAAGGCATCGTTCGTGTGTGTTTGAAGACTGCATAAAAAAGAACACTACTTTTTCCAAACAATCTAACCTGACTCGACTTGAATCAACCTTCTTCTTGGAAAACATATATTTTCCAACATCGTTCTGATTTGGTAGCAAGGCATCGTTCGTGTATGTTCGAAGACTGTTGCTGAATCAAAATGTGCGCCTGAAGAAAGGTATGGGTGAATCGAAATGAAGGCAAATGGAGATGTGGGTGGGGCTAACGAGATGTTTCCATCTGTATTAGACAATCAGTACCTGTAGTCTCTCTTCCTATATCCTGCGTGTTACCTCGTAATGAATATTCCAAAATGGCTCTGTTTCTTTTTGATTTTGTCGAATAGCTCAGCACGCGAAGGATGGTTACATTGAAGTGTTTGAAAAATTTATGAATGAAGCAATAATTCTCCGATACAACTTGGCAACCACGCATTTCCTCACCACAGAAATCGGATTTTTGTTCACTCGTTACCATGACGATCGTTGCCATCATGGCAATAGTTTTTCTAAAACTGATTTCAGCCAAACTGAACCCTATACAACTCGGCAACCACGCATTTCCTCACCACGGGAATCGGGTTTTTATTTACTCGTTACCATGACGATCATTGCCATGGCAACAGTTTTTCCATAATTGATTTCAGCTATACTAAACCCGATACAACTTGGCAACCACGCATTTCCTCACCACGAGAATCGGGTTTTTGTTTACTCGTTACTATGACGATCATTGCCATAGCAACTGTTTTTTCATAACTGATTTCAGCTAAACGAAACTTGAGCCTGATTGTTTCACACCTCGACACAAATTTTGAGATCTGCTGACCATATTATCATTTTTAGGAAGATTATGAAATTCGTTTGAATCTTTTCCTGAAGATCCTAACGTAAGTAGCGGAACATGTGTTGACTTGTGAAACAATCATTTCGGTTTGGGCACCTGAAATATGAAAAGTTGCATTAAAACATTTTTGCATGGAAGAATGCATCTATATTTTTAATATAGTGTAAGGGGTCGAATGACGCTTCAGAAAATGAGAACTGCGTTTTTGTGGAAATTATTTCCACCCCAATTCCTCCAACTGCTCTACTAAACCTCCAGCGTAATAAAGGCCCTTATAATAATCCCTTGATACATAAATATCTATTCACTTTTCACTGTTGAATTTTGAATTCGCGGTCAGCACCAAAAACGCCAATAATATATCACGTTGTAGTTCACTTTCTTTTCCTAGTTTCGTTTTCAAATTTTCAATTTCATAATGTAATTTTTTGCGATCATTTCCCCTTTTTCCATGATTATTTTGTTTTGTATTTTGTGTGATGATGATAATGGAATTTTGTTCTTGAAATCGTCTGCTTTGTAAATTGATGGAACAGCAGATTCTCTCAAACAGATTTTAACATATTCTGTTTGAAAATGGGCATAAAATTTAGATTCATTCTAATCAGATGCTGTTATAAGAAGTGAATTTCAAATAGAGTACCTCACAAATTTCGCTCGTCTTCAACTTGATTTTCCACCCAGGCCGTTTCATATCTTCCTTCCATAAGCGAATGCTTGATATTTGATTTGGAAAATCATATAATGATATCCATTTGTTTCAAAATTGGCACAATTTATTATACAGAAAGTGATTTCCTGAGCTGCTTTTATCTCGAAAGTATAATTATTATGAAATTTCATTTCAATTCTGACGTTTATAAAATGAATTGTCAAATTCAAAAAATTTTGGATGAAAAAGCGCGGGACGACTATGGTGCTCTTGTCACAATGCAAGGTGTACGTGTAACTTCATAAATCTAAACCATTGTCGATCTAAATGAAAACCTAGTAGGCGACCTAGTACGCGAGGAGGTACAATATTGTCTGTTCTTTGAATCAAAATCTGTCTGCCTGTCAAGTGGCGCTGGCATCCTGAAAATGGAAAAAGCTCATTTGTTTCTGTCAAAATAGACCATATTAGGTTGATATTCTCTTCTTCTATTTTTCTCCAATATGTACTCAACCACAGACGTGCTTTCCATCATTGACGTGATATTTGATAGGAAGACGATGGAGAAGATTCATGTAATCATAAAATTATTTTCTGACAGTTGTCATTAACTTAGAACTTCGTCTTTGTGGATGTGTTGAATTTTGATCTCCTTTCTTGGAAATAACAATTATACCTATACCTAATCATTTCTTCTAGTATTGGTTTTCTATCAGAGTTTGTTGATTGGTTTGTGAGTGCGATTGTGTTATTTTGCAATGTCATCTGAAAACTGCGCACTCCAGGAGGTGAAGGTGTAATTGAATTATCAAGACATGGTTTCCCCAATCCCCACTGTTGTGAATTTGAGCCTCAAATCCTGAGGCGTCAATGGGTTCACGCCATATTCATTGGATATCAAGGTGAACTTTTTTTCTTGAATCACATAATATTTGGGACTTAATGATATTTATATTTCAGGAATGTGAGTTTTTGAAGTAAGCGAACATGATACTATATGTTTCCAACATTTTAAGGGAACTGTTTCTTGCCAATGAAGAATAGGAAACGGTTTTGGAAAGAGAGTACGGTCCGAAGTTTGTTCAAGGTAGAAATATATAAATAAAATGGTATTTAACAAATTTGTACCTATACTAACTAACTAATTATTAGTTTCGGTATGAAATTCACCAAGAACTTGACTTTGGTTCCTCTAAAAGTTGTTCCATAGTCAAAAGTCATTAAATTCTTTTCAGAATGGTACAGGACATTGAAACTAGGGACAATATTTTTATATTTTCAGACTCGGCAATGTTCTTTGGAATATGATGCTGAAGAGGAATTCCTGCCTTAAGGAACAGGACCTGACGATGAAGAAGCATCTGAGGAGGAAACGGGCATCTGAACAGATATCATTGAATAATAATAAATAATAATAAAGTTCATTCAAAATGTTGACTTAAATATAAATTAAAAAGATACATATTGGTATTGAATATTCCTGTGGTTTGATTTGTGCCAATAATAGACACATCTTCTCATATTTAGTGAAGTTCGTAGCTTCAATAAGATGATTTAATAAAAAATAATCATTGTTTTACTTCAAAAATACTTCACCTATATACAATATTTGTACAATATATATAGTGATTTCAAACTTATCTGCCAATACATCTGTACAACAATAAACAGGGTATCAGAAGAGAACAAACTATATAGTAGAATAAAAATTGAAATAATTCTTCATAATTATGTACAATTTATTAAAAAAATTAAATTGTATTGCCATTCATACAATACATACAAGTTATATTCCAATAAAAAATTCTAAATATCCCAGCATCTTGACAAAGAACCCTGAACAATAGAATACCATAATTATATCTGAGGATGATTCCTATACAATCTTGAAATCACTTTACTCTAGTGAAATTCTGAGTGGCTCACTACGAAAATGGTCCTGAGTGTGCTGGAGTGGAATATCACATGTTCCTCATCATCTAATTGATTGCTTGAAAAATAGATGAATTGAATATACATTGGGGTGTGTATAATTTGCAGCCTAGAATGAAATGCTGGGGACTGGCAATTTCCAGCAAACAAATCGTTGTTCTTACTGCTTATCTGGATTCAGCTCATCGAACTACAGGATGAAAAGTTTCTGATTTTATTCACTGTCCCATTTTCTTGTGTGTTTTTTCATAAAATCTTGTGAACTGGATATTTTTGCAGCTCGACTTTCAAGGAGGTACCAATCTATAAAAAATATAATGATATTTTGTGTTTGGAGCAGAATATCCATGAGACATTGATGAAATAACCAGATTGAGTCTAACCTTATTAGTGCTTCTATATATTTATTTCAGATGGTAAATTTTCCATTCTGTTCTGGAACATCATCATCCTTCTGGTACATTCCTTCTGAACATTACTCACCTAATGATTTCTAATGTGATACTTCCACATCACTCATAGTTTTCCGTTTTTCAACTGAAAAGCTATTAATGTAAGTACTCTTCGCTGTAGGTAGGTACCTGAAATTTTCAAGTATATAGTGATTCCTTCGATCATAAAACAGACTTCCGATGTGTACATGGTTTACATCACTAAAGACATGTTTTCACTGCAAATAATGGAATTTCACGAATTATAGAGTAACTTATCAAAAATATAGAAGGAAAAAAGCAGCCCCTACCTTTCTGCTTGGCTTGCATGTCGAAAAAGTGTAATAGCACTATTGAGTTTCCGAAGTTTCCACAATTCCAACTTAAATTCAAGTTGCATCATTAATCATACTAATACAGCATTGCCTAAACATCTTCCTGCTTCCATTCAAGTATAGGTAGATGGTTTTCATACTTGATAATATCCTTCGTGATAATGTTTCATTTTCGGGATTCCACATGACAGATTTTTATTTACAAACTTGACAGGACCATGAAAAATGTTACGGTTAGGTCTGACAAATGAATAACTTAGTTTACTTGGTTCACATTGATGTCTCTGTACTACTGAACGCCTTCATTTATTTTTTCAAAGAACAGACAATATTATGCTCTCGCCTACTAACTACCTAACTATAGGTTTCCATTTAGATCGACAATGTCTAAACATTCAAAAACCCTAACCGTTGTCATTTCTGTGTCCGAACTCTTATCAAACTAATACCATCCAGTGACTCTAGATTATAGCGGTCTAGAGATAGAAGTAACGTCAGTGGTTTCGATCAACTGGGATATTGGAAATGTTTTTGCATTTTTCAGAGCACAAATTTGAGCGTGAGAATATTCAAGAGTAACTGGTACGACCAGTCTTCTGCAGTAGTGAGAAGTCTTTCGATTGTGATGGCCAGAGTGCAAAGACCACTTGTACTTACCATCGGCGATTTTCGAGTTATCGACAATGAACTGATCGTTAACGTCAGTCTGAAATCTGGATTGTACACTCTGTATTGATATGCGTATTTTTTCAGATGATAAAAGCTGCTTATACATTCTTATTGTACCAGAAGATACAGAGTTTTCCAGATGATGGTGAAGTTTCCATGGGATGACTACTCATCAAATTTACTTGATATTTATCAGCTTCATGTTTTTGAAATGTGTAGAATGATTAATAAGGTGACTCGAATGAATTCTGTTCTCGACTACTACTACTACACCGAAAGAAATATCTATTAACTGTTATACGAAATTGTATAACCATTAAAAGATTTCTGAATTGAATAGGCGCCAGCATAGTTCCCATTTCACTGTAATCACGTTCATCATTTCAAAAAAATCATATAACTGTGAAATATCACTTATATAAGAATGAAATGACGTTCATATAGAAGTCACATGACTAGCATTTTAATGCTATACGATGATATTATAAAAATGAGAAGATACTCATATGAATTCGACTTGTTTTCAATTTGATAGTCAAATAAAAAGCATTTCAATATTGAATAGTGATATTATAAAAATGAAATACTACTCATATCAATATAATTTGCTTTCAATTTCATAGTCAAATGATTGCATGGTATCTCAGTATTAGGTTGAAACTCTTCGAGAAATATTGAAGACATATATACTTGGTTTATATACTTACCCCCAAGTAAAGTTTTTTTGAGGAACTACAGGGCATTGAAGTGCATCACAAGAACGATATACCTACTCAGTTTACAATATCTCAGTTTGTGTAGGACAAAAATGCTTCCAATTTGGACTATTTGTTCTTATTGTCAGTGCATTGGATTATAAGTGTCCAAAAATGTAATAACACAGTATTGTCAGTAAATTAGAGTTCACATTCGCAGATTTCGTTTTATTCCATTTACCGTTATTGCCACTTGAGCTTCACAAAAGAGCGTTGAGAGACTTTTCTTACGACGTTTTCGAGATCCCCATGATAGTAATCATTAATCTTGGACACAATGTATACGCAATACAATCTATCACCGATAAAACTGTTCAAATCCAAGCTTTTGCCACTTAGTGAATAGTGAGGTGGGTTAAATAAATAAAAGTTTTTTCCAATTTGGAAGACATTCCGATACATACACTTACCGATATATCGTGAAAACACTATAACGCCCAGAGGCAGTTCAACATTCTGTAGTTCTTCAACAAATCTTGGGGGATATATGAACAAATATGTCCCTAATATTTTTAGAAGATTTCTCAACCACTTCACTTTTTCGGAAAAAAAAATATCACTCTGCAAGAAGAGTTCACGAGCTGCCGCGAGCTAATATTATGTCCTTTCATATCAGGAATCCGGAGACGACTAACGATTCTCATCGAACAAGTGTTCAGAGGTGAGTGAGATGACTCATTGAGGTAAATGAGTATGACAAAGATGGAAAATGATAGAAGGGATGAAATCAAATGATAATTGTATAACTGTGAAATGACATCTTTGAGGATTTAAATGATTATCTTCAAATTTCCATCTTTCAACTATAATCTTATTGTCTCATTTCGAATCTAAAAGATAACCTTTTTGAAACAAAAAGAGTAATTTGATAAGATGACCTGTTCCACGTTGAAGACGTGAACTTTTCACATTCATCAGATGACATTTCGTGGTTAAAATGTTTCATTTGGCGGTTATAGGAAGTTTTTAAATAGAGACTGTATAACTGGACTTTTCTCGGTGTACAACTAAGTAATTTTCATGATAAAGAGAGTCCAGAGATGAAACCAAAAAAACTTATGAGGGTACAGGGACTGCCAAAATTCATTTATCGATTTTTATTCAAATCATGAGGACACCCAACATACAAACTGACAGCTTGTCCAATTACAGGGTGACACGAAATACAGTTATGGTTTTACAATTTGAGTTATGATAGTCGCTATATAAAGTTTATACACAATGTAACAATATATAACAATGTAACTATCATTTAATGAACTACCACTCCTATTGAGGATCGAAGAAAAGAAGGACAATATATATAAATATATATACCTGAATGTAGTGTGTACATTGCTGCCCTTAGTGGCAACTCCACCATTTAATGTAATCAATTTGTACTTGAGATGTTCCTTGAACCTTGTGAAATTGTTGCTAAAAATGGATTATGTGATAAGAGTTCACGCATCTAATAAGGGGAGAGTTACAATAGTAATTTGTCGGATATGGTGGTGGATAGAATGTTAGTCGATTTCGTGAAATACGGGGATTACAATTCAGGGATAAAGTTGTTGCAAGCATAATTCTGAGTGAGAATATAATCCCTCATAGCACACAACGTGCTAGGGACGTCCCTATTTGCTACAATTCAAGTCCGAATGTCCCGGACCAGAAATAAGTGTTCTTGGGACGTCCCATCCCGTACATCTCATGCACTGTCCGAGCAAGGACGTCCACGGAATGTCCCAGCTGGTACATAATTCCAAATGCCCTAGAAATAGCATCACTAAGACGTCTTACGTGGGACATATTGTAGAATGTCCATGCAAGGACGTCCTTCGCATATCCCTGATGAGATATGATTTTGAACGTTCCTTTAGGAACATCCATGGGATGTACTTACCGAGTAGTACATATTCTGGCTTGACTTCAGATCTTATGTAATGTCCCTTCTAGACAACCTTGAAATGTCCCTGATGGTACAATCCTTCAAATATCTCTGCACAGACGCCATTAATATTTCCAGGATCGTATAACAATTGAAATGTTCCATAGGAATATCTGCCGGATGTTTCAATTGGTACATGAACTGTACTCTTCCAATGTCCTAGGAATTACGTCCTACGGACGTCCCAGTCGGTACTTTCAGTATGTTGTCCCTGTGAGGACGTTAACTCACACCTCGCCGACGAATGATTGCTCGTAGGCTATAAATACTCTCCGTCAATGTCCTTCACATAAGTCCATCGGACATCCTTGGGAAATTTTTTCAGGATCTATTGGGGACCTTCTACGGACCATCGAATTAACTGGATGTCCTCATCAGTTATGCAAGATCTGGTGTTAGAGGGACCCAATAAATTTCAAAGGATAATTCGTACGTCCCTGGAACATCCTGTGGACTGTAGCATTTAAAATTTCAGTACATACCTTCCAATTTTTTAATTCACTCCATTACATCGACATAATCAAATCTTGAAGTAGTTGCATACCGGAGTAGTTATTCATACATATAAGTATTTTTTATAAATATCAAAAGTTCAAGTATACTTTGTCATTTATTTCACTCAAATATCAGATTCAGTCACAAATCTTAGCTACACTTCAATTTCAGTATATCAAGCAGATAATCACATTGTAAACATGAAGTTGCTTGATAGTTGCCTCTATTATCATGTATAGTACCTAAAAAAGAAAAGAATAGTTCATTAGGAATACTTGAAACTTGTCATTAGTATACTCCACAGAACTCATAGACCGTATACTCACCAAATTATTCACTTTTCTTACTGGCTCTATGATCAACAGGCAGTAGACGATGTTCCAACTCGATTCCAATCAATAAAATGCTCCTAGAGTATATTCTCTCATAGGTTTTGCCTGCAAGAAATAAACACTTCTTGTTTACAAACTGACTAGTGGTTATGCCCAAATACACCTTTATCATCATAGTAGTTTTCTGATGTATGTTTGAGGTCTGAATCTTGATATAGATCGGCTGGATATAAAATAAAGTGGTATTTTTTTGTGAATGAATAGAATTTTTCTGCAACCGACACAAAAGTCGTCCATTTTGATACCAAAATTAGCTCTTAAATTGACGTTTCTATTACTGACACAAAAATAGGTATGTTGCTAGGCAACATATTTAGTTCCTAGGAGCTAAAGTTGAATTTTAGTTCCTAGGAGCTAAAGTTGAACTCTAGCTCCTAGGAACTAAAAAGGATCTACTGGACGTCATCAAGAATAAACAACATTGTGACGGTTGGTTATTTGGGTTGAGACGCATACCTGATTTGTTTTCGATTTCAGCAGATTTGGCATTTCATACCCATGCTGGACATAAATACATCCCAGTTAAGTATTTTTGTTTTGATCAGGGAAGCCTTCAAGATTCAAATACTTGCGTGATCTGTATTTCATTCGTTATTCTCGAGATGGATAACTTGTTTTTGAATAATCACGGCAAGCAATAGTTTTTTGTCTCAAACAACGATATTATTACGCTTCATTTGATTATCAAGTCAAACACAGTGTAGTATGGAGAGGAATAAATAATCACTATTATCATTGTTGATATGCTCACTAACCTAACATTTTCCACGTCTTGTTCCTATAGCTGGCACTGGCGCGGTATTTGCAATTAGAGCACCTGGTCCATACACAAATATGTCACTCTGTGGTTGTATTTATATTGAAACTACAATTCGAACATCCTAGAAAACCTAACCTGCTGTTAATGCAGGTAGAATATTCTTACCAAATGGATTATTTGTCAATATTTGTTGCATTGCATACATATGGCACGGCATTGGTGGTTACTTCACATGTTTATTTGAATTAATTGTTTCGGTTGCAGAAAAAATAGCATGTTTCATTCGGATCAAAAGTGACTTTGTTCGACTCGCAAATTTAGCTCCCGCTCGGCTTCGCTAAACGCTCCGCCTCGCAAATGCAAAATTCGCTAGTCAAACAAAGTGTCACTTTTGATCCTAATGAAACAATCTACTATTGCATACTTATTATTTTTCGGTTATGTAATTCGATTACTGACAATATTGGCATCCATGTCAAGTAATTTCTTTTACTTGTCACTTGTATATAGCTAACACATCAATGTCATGTGTCAAGTCACATCGGACCTCCTGTCACAAGCATAGAGAGTGGGACAAAAAGTCATGCTTGGTGGGAAGGACTGAGATAGATCCACTCTGATTGGGTATTCCACAAACATCAATATCAAGGTTGTCGAATTTAGGTCAGAATTTTGAGAGATGACGATATCCAATTTCCGAGAATTGGTCACTTCTTGGTGGGCTCTGGATGAGTGAAGTCATATGTGTATAGGTGAAGTGAGTCGCTGCGAGGCTTCGCTGGTTTTATCCAGGATTTTTGGAGGCATCACCCATGGTTTCCACCAAATGACACCACTCAACTGTCAAGAGAGTCGTTGGCTTTCTGGAAGCAAGAATATTCATGGTTCGTCCAGGATTCGGGAACACATCGTGCCGGCCATTTTCATCACAACCCTTTTTGAAAAAGGTGAGTTCCTTTTCCATGACAAACTCAGGTTCACTCGCCTAGACTTGACTGAAGTTTC